GCTGACAGTTTGCTCATTTAATGTCGCTGCCATGAGCAACGTTCTCACCAGCCATGAGCTAAAAACTCGACGTAACATGAGTACAAAGCTAATCTGGAAACAGAATCTCAGGAACATCCTTGTTGCATGCAAATGATGTTAAAACGATAGATGCTTCTCTTACAGAAATTGTAATTGTTCTATGGAAAGCAAATGAATAATGCATGGTAACAATGGCATATTTGGTGCCTAATTACCTCTCCGTTGTCTGAAACTCAGCAACCTGGTGATCTGACGTCGGCCGTTCATCAAACTGTCGGTGACAGCTGCTCGGTGTTCTGCAGGCTGAAGCGTTTACTTTGCATGTGACACTCGAATCATCTCAGTTTAAAAAACGATCTTCTACTTTGAAGCTTTTTATTTGCATACGGCCTCTTTACTCGGCCCACCAGTCTCTGCACACCTGCGTATTGGACGCTGTCTAATAACAGCTGGGATGCTTTTCAGCTGAATGTGTTTAATTGATCCGCTGTCTTGGCGTCTCGCTAATCATTTCAAATATCAGGGCCGCCGTCTCTGCATCGCCGTTCTGCCTTCGCTAACAGGCCTTTAGGATCAATCAAAACAAATTAGCGTTGTGCGCAGCTAATGGGGTCAGTTGAAATGAGATCAGACACACTCGCAGGGAGGCCCGAAGAAAAATAAATGGTGAACGGGACCTCGAGCTGCCAATCTTAGGAGGCAGTGTTTAATCGTGAGCTGCTTTCTCAAGTAACTTTTCAGAGTAGAGTAGACCGCCTTGGCTTCATGGAGGAGGTAGAGAGAGAGGATGTGATAATGTTTTTGCTTGTGTGTGTGTGTGTGTGTGTGTGTGTGTGTGTGTGTGTGTTAAAGTGTTTGTTGGTAAAATACCCAATGAAAAACTGGGCAGCTTTTAATACATCTGGATGCACATCTACAATACATCTGGATGCACATCTACAACTGATTGACTTTTGAAGTCCAGCTAAATTGCCTTAGGACATCAAAATGGCTACAGCTCTGTTCCTTTCATAGACAGTGAGGTAAAATATGGTGCCAACAGTCACACATGTGCTGACAGATTGCCCAGGATCCTGTGACAGTGTAGTTTTGTACATCTTGTTTTTCCTCAAGGATGCCATAAACCCTTGAGGAAAGCCCGTGGCCAAGTTGGTTCCCTAAACAGAATTTTATATAAATGATAAATGACCCCCACTTGTATGGCGCCTCTCAGAGTAAGGACTCCAAAGTGCTTTACACTACAGTCTGTTATTCACCCATTCACACACTGATGGTGTAGCCACAGCTGCCCTGGGGCGCCCCGACAGAGATGGGGCTGACGAGCACAGGCGCCACCTGTCCCTCCTACCACCACCAGCAGGCAAGGGTGGTTAGGTGTCTTGCCCAAGGACACAACAGCAGAATTCTCTGTCCAGAGCCGGGATCAAACCTGCAGCCTTCCGATTACCGGAAAACCCGCTCAACCTGTTGAGCTACTGCTGCCCTTATTGAGGCTTTCCCATTTACAAAATGACTACATCAGTAGAATCCATTTAGGTTTGCAGCTGTTATTAGTAGGAGCAAACAAAAGGAGCAGCCCCTTTCAACGGTGGAAAAAACCTTTTACAGATGCAAACGTCAACATTTTCTGGATGCTAAATCATCAATGGTTAAGGGTAAACGTTGATATGGCGCCTTCTATGGTCCAACAGCCTCCCAAGGAGCTTTACAACAAAAGCAGTCATTCACTCACACACACACACACATGCGCACGCGCGCACACGCACACGCACACACACACAAACGCACACACGCACACGCGTGCGCACACACACACGCATGCACGCACACGCACGCACACACACGCGCGCGCACACACACACACACGCACACACTCACACGCGCACACACATGCACACACACACGCATGCACGCACACACACACACACACACACACGCATGCACGCACACACACACACACACACACACACACGGACACACGCGCACACACACACGCACACACGCATGCACGCACACACACACACGCATGCACGCACACGCACTCACACACACACACACACGCACACACAGACTCACACGCACATGCACACACACACACACACGCATGCTCGCACACACACACGTGTGCACACACACACACACACACACACACGCGCGCACACACAAGCTACAATGCAGCCACTGCTGAGGCGTGGTCATCATCTGGCTGCTGCTGTGCCAGTTGTGAGTTGAAGCCTATGAAAGTGCTCTTGCACCAACGATGACCCTGTCATGGCAGGAAATCCTACAAACAAGCAGAAAATTAAGGTTTGTTTACAGTAGTCTCACAATGATTAAAGATGATTAATTCAATTATGATTCATGATGATAATCATAATGGTTTGATGATATTCCATGCTTACAAATTTATTTATACTTTTTTTTTAAACATCCTGTCTGTGATGACTAATGAGACTTTAAACAGCGACGCCCTGCCAGT